ACCCCCAAATGGGAGCATTTACTGGAAAGTCCGGAGTGCTTTCATGAGCTACAAAACTCTTTGTGGATGTAAGATGTTCTTAGTCACATAATTTGGAGAACAAAGTGTTTGAAAGCCTTATGAAGCACTTCAGAAGCTCAGTTAACTGCAATTTTAACCTAATCATCAAAGATTTCAACAAGTAATATTTGATTAATCTGGCTCATAGCAATACCTCAGACTTCTCACTGTGGACGCAGTGCCTGCTATGCTTGTAAGGAATTACCTTTGTGGGAAAAGGAAATTTGGAGGGCTCAGCTGTACTAGGCGTGTGTATTGCTGTCAAAGGAGGAGGCCATGAATGGGTCATTTCCTGAAAAAGAGATTTAGAAAGGGAAGAAAAGGTAAATTATAAATAGAACATTTACTGTTACTTAGCTTTTTAACAATGTGGAGTGGATTGATGGTAAATGACAAGTGAAACCTTAAAAGTTATTTCATTTACTTTAAAAACTCCCACTTAACGGGCTATATCCGAAAGCTAAAGATCTCCAACTTACAAAAACTGAAAAAACTCAGTTTGAAGAAGAAAAACAAGAGCGTAGAACAGGAATGGTCTTAACACTGACTATTATAAAGCGTATAAACAAATGGCAATAGGTATTACCAGAGCTTATGTAACCGTGAACACTTGAGTCTCTAGTCAATGCTTTCTTTCTCCCTCAGCTTCTTCATTGCATTTCCTGGAATTATTTAAGTTCAAAGGAAGAAGAACCTTCCTGTTTGACTTAAGCAAACAAGTAATTCAGGTCACTTGTTCCTCTTGGGAGAGTTCTGATGGATGTGACCCTTCCCTGATACACACTGTTAGTATGTAAGAACGTTTTGGAGGACGGGGCCTTAAAAAACTACCTTCCTTTCCCACTAACACATGCTGCATTTCTTTTCACTCGTCACGGAGGCAAGGTTTCTAAACATTACAAATTAATATATTTTTCTTGACATGAATTATTTTTTTTCTAAATGTATTCGTGAATTATATTTTGCTTTGCTAAAAATACCAGTGGAAAACAGAATGTCAGATTGAAGGTGTCTAATCACACACATACATGCGCACACTTTGTTGAAGAGCTAAAATGGAGATCATTAACTCCAACCCTTCCATTTCAGAGGAGAAAACTGAGGTCCAACACGACTGGACGGGGTGCCCCAGGAAGCCAGTGGCTGAGAGCACAGAGTATGGGCCACTTGCCTTCCCAGTCTAAGAGAAAGAAATCCATTCTGTGTGTCAGATCTGCCTGGCGAACTGGTTTAAAGATCAACAGGCAACTCTCTACCAGCAAGCTGATGACCCCAGGTCATGCTGTATTACCTCACCTGTATAAGACTGTGTATTATAACACTTCTTTCTTTTCAAAGTACTCACCAACCCCTCTATTACCACAGAAACGCCGTGTGATGCTTGCCACAACTGGAAATGGAGCTCTAGCAAGTATTTCTACTCCCAGCCTCGGTTCGCACCTTCCCTTGCTCCGTCCTACAGCCACTCTCTGGGCTGCTCCAGCCCCAGGATCGACATAAAAAACCTGGCACAGTGACAAGCAGAGTCACTAGTGCTGGCTCTCTTGAGAAATTTTTGTTAAAGGTGAAAGCATTGCTTTATCTAGCCAGATGCTTGGCTCAGACAAAGTCCTGTTGTGCTAAAATGTAAAGCAAACAGCTAATTACGAGCTTTGGAGCTGGAGATTCAGACAGGCATCCTTACTTGGACCCTCAGGAGCCTAAGTGTCCAAGCTCTCTGAGCTTCAGGTCTCAATAACAGGCAGACTAAGACAACTGATTTTCCCAAGCATTTAGGGGTCATTTACATCAAGTGCTTGGATACATGGTGCATAGAAAGCATTTAAAAATTAAAAGCATTATAATTTTTAATTAAAAATTTAGGTTTTAAGAACTTCAATACTGAATCAAAGAGAGATCCCTGTTGTTTTATTTCACTATACTTTAAGGTACGGGACCATTATAATGCTATCATGCAAAAACATAATTAACTGAGAACGTGTTTGAAAATACCACCCTTATGTTTTTCGAGAATTTCTTTAGAATTCCAATGATATCTCTGACTTTTAGTCACCAATAACTCCCAGAAAACATGCATTGTACTCTCAGTGCCAAAGGCTGTCTGGGCTATTAAATTAGGCAGTCGGAAAGTGCAGAAACTCTTTCAGGCCCTGAGTGGTTTGCTAGTAGTCTGAAAGAATTCAAGTACTTTCCTAAATGCCTAGCTTAGGAGAGGGACTTGGGCCTTAACAGAACTGGTGCCATACGGGAAGGAGGCTGTCCAGGATCGCAAGGCCAGGAATTTGCTCCCGACCTTAACAACGACTTACCACATCAGTGGGATAAATGGCTCGGTACCTGCCTCAGTCCTGGCCTCTGGGGGCCACATCTGTGGACTCCGACCCCTGCTCCCCTTCACTCATTTTGCTCTAGACCCACTGTTTAGTTCTTGCTGTTGCTCTAACAAACCAACCTGCTGCCACCTTGAGGGTTCTGCACCCTTTCCTCTGCCTAGTTCTCTGTTCACTAGCCTGCTGTATGGTTCACACAATGTATCAATATCGGATATTTTATTATATATCTATCTTTCCCACTATGACCTCCACAAAAGCAAGAATTCTTTCATATTCATATAGCACTCCCAGTGCAGAGAAAAGCGTTTGAGGCTTAATGGAAATCTGCTGAGTAAAAATGAATGAACAAACCAATACTGATGCTACCACTCATTGTATCAGTGTCCCTGGAATGCTGCACTGAGGTCATGTCTCCAAGCCCTGCTTTACTCCCCCAGGAGGCTGTCCAGGCCATGCACTGGAAGTAGAAAACCCGCGCTGCTTCCATGCTCCCACTGAGGGCACTGCCCTGTCTGGATCCCTGTGCAGGACCAATTCCTGGTGTCTAGCAATGTCTGTCTGTTCTCTCCTTAATCCATCAGCCTGGAGGGCTTACAGGCTACCACTTCCCCTTCATTAAAACACTTCCGCCCCTAATATTTCCCCTAGAGAACCAAACAGTATCTTCCATGATTGATTTTCTCTGTTACAGAACTATTTACTGCCTCTATTGCCCATCAGAAAGATCTGTGTTAGGATTCCTAGCAATCTTCATAAACTGCTGGTACAAGGCAAGTGCAGGAACCAAGAGGAATAGAAAAGTATCTGGCTCCACATCTGGGAGGGAGAACTGGAATGGACTCTAGAGATCATCTACTAGCCCACGGACTTCATCTTAGCAATGAGGAATCTGAGGCCCAGGAAGAACACATGACTTAACTGAAGCCCCAGAGAAGAGGAGAGGACAGGGACTCTAACTAAGTCTCTGCTATGCACAGGCCTCTGCCCTCTGCAGTCCAGGGCATCCTTCTATTTTAGTCTCCCTGCTCACAATTTCCAAGGGAAAAGACTCACTCTTGCTCGCATTAACCATTTACTTTCAAACATTCCCAGCTAAGTAAGAACTCATTCGTGTGATGTTGGGTGAGAGGAGAGGGAGGATGGATGAGTTTATTACATTAAAAATGCTTGTCTGATGCTTCACTACCATCATCCTAAATAAAGGATTTGACAGTCATATATTAACACACATCAAAACCTAAGAGAAGCACCTGACATACATACACAGAAGACAATTAATCTATACTGTTGCATTTTTTTTTAAATAACTATAGAATATATCACTTCAGAAAAAAAAAAACGCTAAGGTCACATTTTCTAACTTAGCCGTTTATTTTTATGACTCATCATACCAAAGAATTTCAGAAATAGCAGAGGGAGGGGATAAAACAAAACTCGATCAAGATAACTTGTTAATTATTGTGTTTATTATTAATCTTACTTGCTGGCTAACAAAAATTTCTCATTGTTAGCAAGACAAAGTATGTTTCCTTAAAGGGATTTCTTTCTCAGAAAATCCTAACTACAAAAGTAGGGGACACTGGGCTGGCTGAGTAGCTCAGTTGGTTAAGAGTTAGCTTAAGAGCGCGAGTTCTGAGCAACACGGCTGGTTCGATTCCCACATGGGCTAATGACACTGCGCCTGAGCTGCCGCTGAGCTGCCAACAGGTGGCAGGATGGCTCATCTGGTGAGAGCATGTGCTCCTAACAACAAGACTGTTCAATGGTGGGCTACGCCCGCCTGCAACTAAGGCTGAACTTGGCATCTTGAGCTGAGCTGCCTCCCATATGGCTCAGTGGATAGAGCGTGCGCTCTTAACAACAAGGCTGCGGGTTCAGCTCCCACATGGGATGGTGGCTACGCCCACCCACAACTAAGATTATAACACAGCACCTTGAGCTTAGAGGCCACGAGCTGCCAACGGGAAGCCAGATGGAGACTGGCGCCCTCCACAACTAAGATTGAAGAACAACAACTTAGCTGGTCCCCCTCCCCAACTCCCCAACACTATTCCCCTCCCCCAATTCCCAAATTAAAAAAAAAAAAAAAGTAGGGGACAGAAGATTGTACAACAAAAATAATGGAATTTTTTTCCAAACATCTGGTTAGACGCTAGTTTTGTCAAAAACTTCACAAGTGAGAAGAAAACCAATATACTTAATTACTGGTTTCAGTGCCACCTCACTTAATATTTTACAAGGAAAAAGTAAAGAAAAAATTGGGCAAGCATATATTTTGAAGGAAAAATATGAGCAGTAGAGATATAAATTAATAGGTACATGTGTCATATATATCTCTCTCCTGCTTAAAAAAAACAACAAAACAAAACAAAAAACCCAGAAACTTTCTAGTAAAAGATAAAGCAAGAATACCATTAAAACTGACATGGAAGAAAACTAAAAACCATAGAGGGGGAATGAGAAATAAAACCTTCAATTATTATAATTACTATATTTGAGTATTAAATTTAGCTTTAGATTTCCTGGAAATTAAAGCCAAAATGGGAAAACATAACCGTTTATATAATGCTTCTGATAATAAGAAAGCATGCTGGTTCATGAGAATTCCACACCACCCCCCACACCCCCCGGAACTAAATTCTAGAAGGAATTTGTCATCCTTGTGCAAGAAAACTTGAACAAATGGGATAACGGATTCAATCATGTATTTGTAGAAGCAGGACAAACATTCATGGCATACTCTAAACAAGTGCAAAAAATAACTCTTCCACATTGGTCTAAAGCGTCCATTTATTTTTTCTTTTCACCCCTTTAAAAATGCATGTACTCGCTGACGATAAGGCCATACATATGAGGTGTCACCTACAAAACATCAAGCACTATTTAACCCCTGCTGCCTCCCTTACCGAATCAATGCAGGAAATGTCCCCTCTAGGAAGTGAGCAACTGTCCTGGGTCTTTATGGACAACCAGAAAAACTTGAGAGAGAGGTCTTAAAACCCTGGTCCAAATGCCTTGTAGTTTGTAGCCTTCATTTTAATTAATAAAATCTGTCAGTGAGTTTAACTATGTTCTTAGACTCCCTTTGTTACTGTTCTAGTTTATTTTGCTTTTGGAGATTTTTGGGGTTGGGGGTACTGTTTTTAAAGGGGTTTGGAATGACAACTGTTCATTAAAGTCAAAGTAAATGGATATACGTCTGCCTACTTAAATACTTCTTCAAGTGAGAAACAGTAACAATGAACTCACCTTCAGAATCTCTTCAACACAATGCACTTCATTGGAGTAGGTCTGCTGAAAATGAAAAGGAAGAAAAAATTAGCACACAAACAAAAAATGACTAGAGAGAGGGTAATAGAAGATGCTGGTATTAACACAGCAACACTCTCAGAAGCAGAATCACCTCAGGGTCTCCCTTTTACTAGCTAAGTGTTAGAAACTTTACATTGTACATGAAATAAGACAAAGAGATTAACCTGACTTAATTGTGAGGGAAAGCAACTACAGACTAATTATGACCCCAGTCAAAAGTTTCCAATGGAAAATGCGTACATTAAAGACAATTAATACATTTCTCAATCTAGGGGGAAAACGGACATAACAACAGTGGAAGCAGCAGGTGGAGATAAAACCAGAGTCACAGTTTGCTGCTTCGTAGTTCAGTGAGCCAAGTTCAATGAACACAAAGATCGCCCAAACACCTTAGGAAGCCCACAGTAAGGAGGCCAACATCTAATCAAGGACAGAGTTTTTGGGGGTTGTTGTTTTTTTTGTAATATTTTAACCTGCCAAAATTCATTTTAAAGTTAAATGTCTCTAGCCCTCCTTCAAGTCAGCATTTTGACTACACACACACACACACACACTATTCACACATATATGTACATACACAAATATATTTCCCCAGAGAAAGGCCCTAAGGAGAGAGATTACTTAGTGTCTTGGAGGAAAGATCCACTATAAATACCTCTTCCTTATCCCCAGTTAAATAAATGACAGTGTCTGCCGCTACCATCACCACACAGACAGTGTCCAGGGAATGTCATTTTATATTGGGGGGGAAAAAAAAAGTTAAATCTAAAGAAACAAAAAAAGAAATACAGAAAGAAAGAAATCACTTTTCCTTAACTAGAGAGATGAAACAAAACCCATGGATTTCATGGTTTTCAGTGGAACAGCGGTTTCTGCTGTGTCAGTTCATAAGCCAAGTGCTCTGGCAAGTTCTACACAACACCCCCTTTTCCCATTACGGCCACTGTTGATGAAGCGCTGGTCTTCCCAGGCAGTTGGTACAATACCTGCCTCACCGCTCCACAGCAGATGGAAAGGGTTCTTTTCCTGGCTCTTGTTTCTAATTTGAATGCAATTTAATACAGCATTGGCAGCTAATTCCTGGATTAGAGTTTAAAAATCCACTGTTTCCCTCATTCCAGTTTATTCTAAGGAAGAGGGAAAAAGAAAAGAACATACAACATTTGCACTGTCTTGGAAGTAAATCTAATGGACATGTCAAAATTCAAATGAAATTTGACCTGCCTGGGTCCGGTTTTAAAACATGTGACTCTCTTGGACACCGTTTTATTGAAATGTCTCCAGTTTGTTATTTCTGAGGTAGGACCTGGAAGGTAGGAGGTACAACCAAAGAATCAAGGATATCCCTTTTATCTACTGTTCCCATTGGACCTGCCTTCAGGCTTTATGCATGACAACAGCTAGACCTGCTTACCCACTTTTTGTTTTCAAAGCCATAAAGGGATGCCAAAAAACAGAAGCAAACATCAGTAACCAAATATTTTAACAGGAATGTCGGAAACAGAAATGAATGCTATTTGGACCTAAAGGTAAAATGTAATCATATTCTACGGTTTCAATTTTTCACATGCATTAGGAAAAAAAAGTTGAAAGTGAATCACTAGAACGGAGCATATGACTGTGCTGACTCAGGTCAAACAGTCCCTTCATCCTATCTGCTGCTGGAATGAGAAGGGAAATCCACTTAAAATATCTGGCAATCAATGAAAAAATGAAGCACTGTTGGAATGATGGCAAAAAAGATTTGCCCACTGCTTCCAACAGTACGAGGTCAGAAAGCTGCAACTTCAGGACACTAAAAAACCTTCTGAGCTTCCTACTTCCTCAAGCAGTCAAGATGTTTCATGCCACGAAAAGGTTCCTTTTTTTTCTAAATTGTTATGACATGAAATGAACCAGGACTGGAGGAATTTTTCTATAGCTTATTGTTCATTAGTATCAGGGTAAGATAAATATTGCTAAACAATCACCATTCAACCTATTAAAAATCCTAAATAACGTCTTAGGCTCAAGCATGAATTGGTTAAGTTACTGTGCACTTTCACATGAAGTCCATTATGAGAGTAGGAGTATGTCAAAGGAGTGTGGAGATTCCATTCCAAATGCATGAGAATATATCACATTTAAAGATCTCTAAGCAGCACTGTTTATCATGGTAAGTAGCTGAGAATCATCAGATGACCAACAATGGGAGTCGAGATAAGACTTGACAGTGTCTCCACACTGCAGTATGCTGTGCAGACTTCAGAAGACAATGTAAATATATGTGCGTGCATGGAAAAATGCTCAGGATATATATTTTCAAGTTTTTCTTTAGAAAGAATTTCACACTTATAGAAAAATCACAAAAATAATAAAAGGAATTCCCACAAACCCTTCACTCAGATTTCCCATATGTTAGCATTCTACATGGGCTTTGTAGTTTTCTCTCCTGCTTCCTCCTCCATCTACACTGACCTGTTTGAAAGTAAGAGAATTAGAGTTAATGCCTCTTTACCCCTCAACACTTCAGGGTGTACCAGGACACAATTTAAGCTGCATTAAAAAGAGGGGCAGTTAGGAGATTGTATAGTAGGCGCCCATTCCATGTTCCATCTACCTGAGATTCATAGATCCACTCGTGCCCCAACCCAAATAATTAAGACTCTGAAACTAGAGTATAGGCATTTCAGGTGTGTTTGCACAGAAAGATCTGGAAGGACAGGCTGCCTTGTTTAATAAAGTACAACTTGGCACCTCCAAGTCTGCCACTGGAGTTTCCAAAAAGGGAGGGGCAGTTAACAAACCATTATGGCCTAATCCCTTCCTTCAAATCCACTTTCCACACAGGCCCTCCCTTTAACACTGCTGCGAAGGGTAAACAATCAGCTTCTCTAAAGCACAGCTGAGTTAAGGCTGAAGATCCTCAGGTAAGACTTGTTCAAAGAACGAGAGATGATAAAAAAGCGACAACCAAGCTCTATGCTACTTGCATGGATGGAGGAGCTCCGGTTTGCAGATCCTCCTCTGTCTCTGTCTAGCTCTCCTTCAATGGTGCGACACTGACTTCAGCACTTACAACCACAAACCTCACTGCTGTCTCCCACTCTCAATACCTAGGTTCCTACTGGGGACAATGCTCCCCTCCTGCCTCCTGTGGCTCCCTGTATGTACAGACCTCCCAGCAGAGATCTCACTTCCCCACTGGGGTATGGCCTTCATTCTATTCAATTTTTTAATATGATAGCAGCTACTTATGGACTACATATTGTACTTGATATTGCATTAAACTTCTTACATACTATGATTTCTTCTGTCTGATACCATCTATTGTAAGATGCACCATCATTAGCTTGTTGGGGGCGGGGGGGGGTAGGGGGTGGCTGCTGCACTAAATGCACCCGTAGACTGTAAATATATCCCTTATTACGGAAACTGAACAGTGAAATAAAAATCTCTGAAGGAATTCTGTATAACACTCTATTTAATTCTCACATCAATATGGTAGGTATTACCCCAATTTTTAAAATGAGACTGAGACAGGAGTCCAGAGAAATTCAGTTACACGTCCAAGGTTACACACTGCTCTGAAATGACTAAGCCTGGCTTCGTGATGTTATTATACGACCTTTCCAAAAAACCTCAACCTTCAGGCAAGAGACAAACACACTAGCATATGAAGGAGGGAATATGATCGCATTTGTTTTACGCATGACTCAAAACAGTCTTTAAAGAGCAAATTTTTCCTTTTGTTTGTACAAAGAAGTACTTTGGGATTCAGATGTAATAGCCTCTTCTTACTGTGGTGCTTCAGACCAGAAAAGGCAGCGATGCTGACCTTGGTCTGCTTTCTCACTCCTCTTGGAATGACATTGTGTCATCATAAGGAAATGTACTGATACCAAAATAAAATATGTTAGTAAATGTCTTCTAAGAGCGCACAGTTTGTTTTAATAAGCTAAAAAAGAGCCAGATGGAAAAAATATACCTCACCACTGAGACCGGGAGGATCTCGCAATATTGTTTTAAGTCTCCCGAGTTTCACCAGGGCAGCACTTCTGTCACAAAGCAATTCTCGAACAGGCCTAGTTCTCGCTCACCAGGAACTGCAGGGAGCGCGAAGGCAGCGTGCTGAGGAGAGAAGCCAGAAATCTTGGATTCTAGCTCTTGTTCTGCTCAGGACTGGTTTTGCAATCCTGGATAAGATTCAACTTGTTTGGGACTATTTCCTCATGGTGATAAAGGGATAATATTACCAACCCAGACCGCTTCACAGGGCTGGTATGAAGGTCAGACGTGAAACTTTAACATCCCCTGACTCCCTCACTCCCGAAACTGTGCATGTGCTCCCACAGCTGTCTGTACTTTTCCTGTCAAAGCCCGCATGTTTGATCACCTCTGCTGCTTCTAGATTACAAGCTCTGTGAAAGCAGGGGCCAGCTCTACCTTGCTGAGTCACCAGTCACACGTTGCCTGCTGGTATGTGTTCAGTCTCAGAACTCAGGATATGAAAATAAGTTTCCAATTCCAATTTTTAGAACTTCAGAGACTTAGTAAACACCGAAGCTTGTCTGAATTATAAGGAAACATTTTAATTAACAAAGTACATGGAAATACACATACTAGGGACAAAAAGGAAATCATGTTGCATTGTTTTCTCCTTACTCTAAGAAACTTTTTTCATGTATGAGTTTGGCAAAACAAAAAACAATGGACTGACAGTCCTGTCAGTGAGAGAGACGAGGGGAAACAGGCACTCTAATGTCGTGGTGGTGGGAGGGTACAGCAGCACAACCTCTGAAGACAGCAATTTGGCGACAGTCACCAAATTCTAATTTCCCACACTCTGACCCAGCCCCCTGACTTCAAGCGCCAAGTCCTACATGTACAAAAAGACATATGTACAAGTTATTCAGCCTAGTGTGCAAACATGAAGGCACTGGAAACCATCTACATGCCCACCTATAGGTAACAGGCTAAGACAACTGTGGTACATGGTGCTT